GGGGGGGGGGGAAGGCAACGAAGGACCAGGGCGTGTGGGGCGTTCTGAGTGTGGCGCAAGCTGACGAGTGGTTTCAGCTTCACTGTCGAAGATCCACCGAATCCCAGCTCACGGATAAAGGGAGATCAGAGCGAAAGTATAGAAGGCGCCAAAAGAGAGAGAGAAAGGGAAAGTAAATGCCCCAGGCTATGACAAGTACAGATTTCAAAAGAGAAACTGGGCACGGCAGGGGATACGTGGGGAGAGTCGAGGCTCTGGAAAAATGAACCCTGAGGAAACCATGTATCAGGTACTTTGTTATACATGTATCGACCATATATTGTCAGGTACCTAGTACCTCCGATTGAGGCTGTGTAGAAGGCTAACGCTATGTGGCTGTGGGTCTAGCACGAGGTGCGGCTGACACTTCTCTTCCAGTTGTCCTCTTCTCTTCATTCTCTTACACTTACACTGACACTTTGAGTATACTGGGCACATAGTCGAGGCAATGGAGCTAACAGAAAAGAAACATGAGGTCATTGTCCAAACCGGTATTCGGTATTTGTCTCCATTGCCACCACACATCCAGAGCTAGAGGTGATGTCACTCCAGTTCAAATATAAAACGTACTTATACGGAGTATAAGAGGAACAATCAACCCAGATGACACGAGTTCCTTAACAGTTTACCAATTGGATCAATAGATCAAGTGGAGACAATTGGCCACATTCTTATATGTTACAGAATGCACACCGTCCAGACTACCTACACAGTACAACATTAGCCTATGACTCTAATAGCAAGGCGCAACACGTCGACTGCGCCATGTTTCAGGTACTAGGCGATCTACAGCCCCATGGTGGGCCACGCTGTGTCCAGTGGTTCATTTCCTGTCATCTCCACTCCAAAAATAGTGTAGATCTGACTGGTTCAGCCGGAATTGTCAGCTTATACGGAGTATACAGTCAGTGGCTGTGATTTCCGTTTTCATATTCTCCCCTTGCCTGACCACGTCAATGTTGTCAAGCCACGATTGATTATGCATGGCATGTATCACCCACCTGAATATGCATCATTTATACCTCGATCCGCCCCTGGAAATTGGCTTGCAGATGTACCCATTCTCTCTCTTTGTCAGGGGTTGTAGCATCGCTTGGGCCCATACTTTGATAACTCAGCGATCCCATTGCGAAAGTGTTAAAGTCCATTCATTTCTTCATTTATACACTTTATCTTGAATCTCTTGCGGTGCCCAATAGATTGAGTTCGACGGCGAACCCACCTGCGCGGCTACTGTATTACAAAAAGTGGCTCTACGAAGTATTCACACATTGTATGAAGCATGGTAGAGTAAATTGCAGCTTTTACATGTACAAACCTGTCTATGCGAAAACGAGATGCTTCGAACTAGGAAGTGGATACTATTTTTATTTCCTCTTACGGAAAACCGACGGTGTATATAGTTCCTTCCCACCAATGATACAATTTCATCTGAGATTCTTCCTTTTCGTCCAAAGTAGAATGGTAGACAGCGTCGATTGGCCCGTAGTTCACATTGACGAGCAGAAATCTTCTGCTCGTCAACTTTCATTCAACCCAGGCATCTGGCATCCTTGAATCGTTTTCAGGTTATCCGACCCTTTCATACCGATCTCCGGGCTCCGATTCGCCAAGTCTGGGTAGGAAAAAAATCTTCTGTTTATAATAACTTATGACATCCCATAAGAAAATGGGTTGGCTTTCCTCAGCTATAATTAAAGGCCCAGCCACGTCGGAAGAACGGAGGGGAGGTATAACCCAATAGCTGCCATATATACCTATTTAGATATACTGAGGGCACAGCTGAGCCAGAGATGGCCGTGACCCATTCACTGGAGAGGTCGGTAGCAGATTGTATACTTCTATAAAAAGGATAGCGCTGCAGTATGTGGCCAGGCCAGTCATGTACAAGTCAACTTGGCAAAGTTAAATAGTTCCAAGGATAGATTGATTACTTCCAGGATTTTCAGGTGGCTTGAAGTAGTCGTTTCAACTATTCTTTGCGGGGGATATTGGCGAGGGGACTCGAATAATCAAGAAACTGTAGTACTCGTGTAGCGGGGCGACCGTAGTTCACATTACTGAGACTCGGAACATGGATTTCTTTCACCAAAATCCAAATGTTGGGGTGAAGGTGAATATATGCGAGAAGAGTACTGCTTATCACCGTGACCAACACGCAGGAATAGCTTCAAGCGCACAGACCTTTCCCTCCCGCATTCTCAAACCTCCCGATATCCAACGGTCCTTATTCGGGATATGTGACCGTGTCTTGCACTAGGGTTGGCGGGTATAATTAATTATCCCTCACCCTGTGGCCTTCCGCTCCCAACCTCGAGCGGTTCTGCAGTTGGTCTGGTTGGCCAGACGATCGGCGGATTAGCGCCGGCCGGGGTGACGAAGATGCATCGTGAGGAGCAATCATGGCCACTGCAGCATCTTACTGGTCGGTCACTCCACTGTGACAAGCTTGGCTGATCACCTTCGCTGGCCAGTCACACTCCCCATTCAACGCCTTGAGGTACAGTGCACTTGCAGAGGCCTCGACTGGCTGCGCATCTCCCAATCATGACCCTGGCTGCTGCTGCTAATTCCATCGCGGCGCTTACTCTGACCCCCAAGTGATGAGAATCAATAGCCTGCATTTTCACCCCTCTCATGCCATGCACTCAGCATTGATATTCAAGCTGCCCATGGCTCTCAATCTCTGACCGTCTTCACTTTTTCGTTCCTGACTCTCTGCTTTGTATCGTGTACGCAGGCCTCGCACACGATATCGGTGATCTATTACAACTCTGATATAGTTCAGCTGTTGTCCTACCCACCTGTGCCCTTGAAAACTTGACTCGCCAACGAGTCTCTGCATTTCAAGCAGTCAGCCCTTTGAATTCCAAGTCGAGAGCTGGTTCTCTTGGCGTGATTGTTCGATTTCTTCGTCTTGTCTGTTGATTATCGCTTCGATGTCGAACTTCGACGACAGTCACAACAACTCCCCTCAGACGTACGAGCCTGTCGTTCCTACGGATCTCACCCGCGGCTCCTATCACAGCGCAATGGGTCCCCCACCACAGCACACTGTGCGAGAGACTCGCAGCTCGTCTGATACGAGCAATGCGTCGCTCAAGAGCCCACGCACTGCTCGATTCGCCGAGGCCACATCCATCCACTCTCCCATTGAACGGACGGAAGCTGGTCGGTCGCCCTTTGCCGATCCTCCCAAGTCCCAGGCGCAGAGTGGCGGTGTTGGTGATCTCGGCTTCGGTTATGTCGCAGCCAACAACGCAGCTCAGCATGCGGATGACCAGGTTCCGATGTCGCCTTTCAGACCTGACTTGAAGGTACCCCAGACGGCCAAGTCATTGAACCCGCTCAGCCCAACTTTCCGTGAGGAGTATATGCTCGAGAAGCAAGAAAAGAAGGCCGAAGTGGAGAATGCCAGAGACTTGGTAAGAACGCCTCCCCGAGGAATCAATCATTGCAACTTACTCATCATCCCCAGAGAATCAAACTCCGCGTCCGTATCGCAAAGGTCTTCCTGAGATTCGTCAGCTTTGGCTGCAGTCTCATTGTGCTATCTCTCTTAGCTGTGACATTGACCGTTTTTAACGCAACCAAGAGCCTGCCCACTCGTAACAGCCTCCCAGCCTGGGCAGCAGGTACCAACCCATGGGCCCAGTACCTCCTCTTGGGAATGGCCTGCGTCTCCCTGGTCGCCTGTCTAATTGTATTCTGGGCCTACCGCAAAGGCGGACACAAACGCGCGGAGAAAGCTGCAGTCTACTACACAAGCTTCTCTATCGCCTTCTTCGCCTTCAACCTGATAATGTGGATCGTCGGCGCAGCAATCTACCAACACTCAAAGGCGACAGGAGGGAACAAAGACATGTGGGGATGGTCCTGCGCCCAGAACACCCGCGAAGAGATCTACCACAACAGCGTCGACTACGCCCTCCTCTGCCGCCTCCAAGACTGGGGCCTAGTCTGCGCAATCATCGAAGTCGTCATCGAAGTCCTAATCATAATAATCTACGTCGTAGTCTTCTACCGCATCTGGAGCAAGCGCAAGCTCATGAAATCAATGGATACCCGCGATAACGCCCGCTCAGATCTCTACCTCGCCCAGCTTCGTCTCCAATCTGCCCCGAACACGCCCGGCTTCGCAGGCTTCAGCTCCTACCCGCCTAAATCCCCCTTCTACGCCGCTGCTCCCGTCGACGCTTACTCGGCCGCCGAGAAGGGCCAGGCTACCCAGACGCAGTACGCTTCGCCGGTCTCGCCTACACGCCCGACTCCGTCCTTCCAGCTGCAGCCCCCGCCTATTCGTGTTCAGCAGGCTACGCCGCAGACTGCGCAGGGTGAGTTCGCTCCTCGTCAGTCGCATTCGCCGTCCCCGCCTCCTCAACACCAGGCTCCGCAGTCTCAGTATGTCAGTGCTCCCGGTGAGCAGACTTACGCTGCTGTGCCGATCCCTGGAGCTTATGGGAGTCCCATGGGGCCGACGTTCCCGGCTGCTGTACACAAATGAGTTTGAAAGACTATATGCTTTTTTATTACCATGCAATTTATCGTTTGGTTCAATCTTGGCAACCCCTTTGAAAACAAGAAAATATCCAAATCATTAAAAAAAGTCGGAAAATCTGCAAAACACCTGTCATATTTGACCTGCTTCAAAACCGGACATGCAAATTTCTGCTCTTTTCTATTTCTTCTGTCCTCCCTATCTTGGAGTCTATAATGTACACCCTGTGGCGTGTGGGAGTTTGGTGAAAGATATTGATACCTATTTGGACTTTCGTACACCGTTTGTGTATTTACTCTCCTTTTCATCTTTGGATTTAGTCCATTGATTTTATATTGCAGTTATTATACATACATATTTACATATTTTTCATTGCTTGATCTCCGGTAGAAAGTAGGCACAGTGCATTCGAAAGAATGCAGAAGAATGACAAGCCCTTTTGAGAGCAGTATTCTTTGACTTCGATGTTACTGTAAATTAGAGACCATTATATCCCAGATATATTTGAAGTAATTGAATCATGGTAATTGAATCATGAAATTGAAGGAATAGTAAAGACCGAGAAAGAAAAAGACCAAGACCGCCGCTCACTGCGAACAGGAAAAGCCAAAACCAAAACGCCGCAAGAATCTACCAAGTCACACCATCCTGTCCATCACTCATGACCAACATGCATATCGTAGTGCTTCTACCCGAGCCAACTGTACATGCAACTAAGAAAAAAAAGCCTCACATTCCGCCTTCTTCTATGATAGCGTGTGTATCCCTGGAGACGAAAATCTCCTCTAGGGTAGCAGCATTGGCACCCATCTTGCTGAGATCGCTCTCAAGAACGAGACCTTGTTCGTTGGCAAGATGGAGAAGACAAATGAACCCGAATGAGGTACTGATATCCCGTAATGTCTCTGCGGGATATACGGCCTTTAGGGAGTTCATGATCTGCGTGAACCGTAACCGTCCAGCATCTTTACTATCCATAGGCTTCTCGGGGCTTTCAGCCTTTGGTGTTGCGGGCATAGGGACCTCTGATTCGGTCTCGGCCTCAGTCTCGGGTTCGGGTGGGGCGTCGCTGGATACAGCTCCGGGTTGTGAAGCTGATGCGAAGTCGACGGCGTCAACTAACCGCTCGCCCATGCCCTTCCACATCTCCACTTTGAGACGTCGGACGTCTACCTTCTTTGCAACACGGGCATACGCCACATAATCTGGGCGTGCACGGCGGCCTCCTTGTGTGACAAGTTGTGAGCCGTAGCCACCACCCGGTCGGCCAGGTGTGGCGCCGACCATATTTAAGAGCGCACTAAGGCCGGTTGCACCACCTGCTTCGACTGTAGCGCCCGAAGTACCATCTGGAGGCGGCGACAGCATCTCTCGAGCATCTGCAAATGGCAGGTTGTCATCATCGTCGTCGAGATCCATGCCGTTAGGGAAAGCCAGGCCATCGTCATCAGCAAAGAAGTTTGCATCATAGGCACCAGCAGCACCTTCTTCGCCAGAATTCTCCTCTGGCTTGTGATTTGCCCAGAACGCTTCGTCCATATCACCATTGCCCGAAGTCAGATCCTGGCGACGACGTTTTCCTAGTATCTTCTTCGAGCCCATCTTGGCCTTTGGCTTGAGGAACAATTGAAGTAGATTGCGTGAATTGAAGTGCTTGTCGTCCGGCAGCAGATTGCGACCCTTTGTCTTCCATTGTGTCTTGGGTAATGAGACTGCGGAGTTGGAGCTAGCCGGAGTGTAGATCAACTCAGCAATAGCAGGATCGAGCGGTGCTGCAAAATCAATTTCGAAAGGCTCCTTTTCCTTGCGTTGCTTGGGTGCCGCAGTGCTCGGTGCTGCGTGCTCTTTTATTCTGCGAATTTTCCAGTGCTCTGGGCCAGCCCAGTTTTTCTGTAGCGCATTGTCAAAGTAGCTCAGAATATTCTCGTGGTCGTGGTTATTAGGCTGATGAGACATCGAGATGGCGTATGCATCCTCGTCACCTTCCTCGCCCTCGCCGTCGGCATTATCGTGATCCATCCGGTGAACTTTGAGCATCGGTTCTAAAGCAGCTTCCCGAGCCCATACCTCGCCTCCGTCACCGAATCCAGCGTCCCCACTGAGATCAAAGCCAGCCAGGGTGCCATCATCATCATCAAACCCGACGGCGTTGTCATCATCCAGCATAATGCCAGACGGATCATCAACTGGGTGTCCATCCTCATTGAGCTTGTCTTGTCGCCATTCTTCAGGGGCCTTGAGGAGAGGAAGATCCAGTGATCCACTGGGATCACCCAAGTCCAGGTTCTTGAGTGATGGGCAAATATCTTGTTCCCCGAGACGGTCCAAATCTGGGAAAAATTGGGTTGCTAGTGAAGCAAGGTCGATCTCTGTGTTGTTCTCAAAGGTCTCGCTTGCTGTTGGCTGGGGAGGTTTCGGCTGGTCCTCTGTCTCCTGCTCCGGGTCTGCAGACTCCTGGCGGTCATCCTCAGCTGTCTTGGCATTGTCGTCCACGGCATCATCACTGCTGTCAAATACGATTCTTCCATGACCGTCAATAGCAAGGTGGTTCAAGAGCAAGCCCTTGGCACCTCCTTCATCGAAATCTGCCGACGCTTTCTTAAATAGCGGGTCCACAGCAAACTCGAGTTCGAACTTCTTTAGCTGCAGAGAGGCAAATGATGGTGCTAGGGTGGCTTCGTGAGAGCGTGTCTAACAACCAGTCAGCCAAATCCCGTGACTTCCCATGCCATATACACCATACCTTCTTGCGCGACTTGCGAGGCTGGCCATCCTCACCTTCCTCATCCTCTTCGCCCTCCTCTCCCTCCTCTCCACGCCCTCTCTTGTCGCGGCTATCAGCCAATCCGCTCAGAAGTTTTCCGGTCTCTGTCGCGACACTATCCACTCGGCTGGTGTAGATCTTGACACATCCATCAAGAGTGCAACTAGCTTTTTGGAAGTTCACACCGTCTCCTTCCTTCAATAGGGACATGTCGTGGAAGTAATCGATAAGCGCAAAGTTCCAGGAGTTGTTCGCATTGATCTTGTTGTCGGTAGCCATCTTCATCCATTCCTCAAAATTGGCTAGGATGGGCACGCGCTTCATCGGCGTCACTGCGCGACCATTCACATCGCTCTCACGGCCACGGTGACTAGATCCCCGGGGTGTCGCGGGACTGTCGCTTCCTTCACGGTTGTAGCTGGTGTATCGGCGGGGTGGCATAGGCGTTTTGACTGCGGCTTTGATTTGACTCATCTGGCGATCATGCAGCGCTTGACGGGCCTCCTTGCGCGCGGCCTTCTCGCCCATGTCATCATTAAGGGGTATTCTGATATGGTCAGCTCAGTGTCAGGATAAGCATCCGGAGGTACGTACTTGACCGGTGAGTTCTTATGAGGGGTCGAAGTGCCGCCGGAGCGGCGATGAATCTTGTTTGCGACACGCGGCATAGTTGCGGTTGCCCCCTATGGGGGATATCGATAACGTCGGGATGGAAGGATTGATGGAGAGGGGTTGATATCGACTGAAAACAAATGGGGAAGTCGGCAAAACAAACATACGGCAGTGCGGAGAGACCAGTGGTGCAGGGAGTCACGTGGGTACTATGTGGTGCCTGATATTCACGGCCAAGTAAAGCGTAAGTTAAGTTAACTAGTTAACTAGATGGCAGGCAACAGCCTTTTCTTCATTTCCTTCTCACGCCTTCCAGTCATTGTTTTTGTACATTCAAGTTGATCACCCTACATGTACATGTATTTGCGGCCTGTTACATGTACTTCGGTGCTGCGATAACGATCCGACTAAGCCGACTAAGCGCATTGGCCCACCAGGCTGACATCACCGCTCTCACCGCAGTGCATCAACACCTGTTCGAGTCTACATGAGATCTCCAATGCCGATAATTTTGGTATAATCAGATCTATAACGTCCTCATACGTCTCATGATGCTGCCCTTCTCGCCACAATGAATCAGCTGCCACCCTTCCTGCAGCTTACCGTCCCCAAGAGACCTCGATACTCAACCCGACCATTCTACATCACGTTGCTTGTGTTCACAGTCCTAACAACAGCAAGTCTGGTCTTTTCAGGGAGAAATGAGCCGGGATCTTTTGCTCAACCGAGTACAGCGGCAGGGCCAAACCTCTTCAAGCGAGAGGGCGAACCAGAGGTACCACTCCCTCCAAACTACTCCCCTGTGTGATAACGCCAAAGGCTAATGCTTTGTACCACGTCCGGTAGTGCCGCTCGGTTCGCAATGTGAGAGATCAATGTGCATTCGTTCGCGCCAACTGTCCAGATCATGAGGATGGCTTGATCTCCTACCTCCAACTCTATTATTGCACGCTGGCCGATGCGAAACCGGTGGCGTTCACGATTTTGGTTCTCTGGCTATGCCTCCTCTTCAGTACCATCGGAATCGCAGCCAGTGATTTCTTGTGTATTAATCTCAGCACACTGGCCAGTATTTTGGGGTTGAGCGAGAGTCTCACGGGCGTGACCTTCCTCGCATTCGGCAATGGGAGTCCTGATGTGTTCTCTACGTTCGCCGCGATGCGGTCGAACAGTGGAAGTTTGGCGATTGGTGAGCTGATCGGGGCTGCGACTTTCATCACCTCCGTGGTTGCAGGCTCTATGGCTCTGATTCGGCCGTTCAAAGTCGCGCGTAGAAGTTTCGTCCGAGATGTAGGCTACTTTGTGGTTGCCGTTTCTTTCAGCATGTTTCTGCTTGCTGATGGAAGGCTTCATGTATGGGAGTCCGCTGCGATGGTAGGTCTCTACGTCTTCTATGTCGTCATGGTCGTGACTTGGCACTGGTATCTGGTTCGGCGGCGCCGAAAGAACGAGAGGGACCTCGCAGCGCGAGCCCATTTCCACATACCGGACAATCAGGAACTGGAAATTGAAGAGGCTGAGGATGATGATCCCGGTGTAGCCTCTGAGTCACGGAGTCTACTTCGCGGGGCCACGACGGAGGATTTCGATCTTTTGGAACGCGCCGATGTTGTCCCTCTCTGGAAAGAAGAGGATAACGAAGATGATGAAACCCGGAACCGGTATTTAGCCGGGATTCGCGACAACATGCACGTATATCGTCCCATGCAATCGAGACGCAACACGATGAACCCCATTCGTGCTAGTATTGTCGGTGCATTGGAGTTTCAATCCGTGCTTAGTTCGCTCCAGAAATCCAAGAGCACCCATCGCAAGCCGACAATAAGTTTAAGAAGCTATTCAGATGACGGCGAGTCAGATTTCGATACGCGCTCAGTAGCCTCCCATCCTCGTGCCAGTCGGCCGTTTGGTTCCAACGACCGCCTGTCACCTAACAGTGCAGCTGGTTCTTCTCGAGTTCGAGCTGTGTCAGCAAATGATGCCGATGGCTTGAAGTTGGACGCCAGTATCCTGGAGCACCGCCCAAAACAAGGTCCACTTCTTACCGTGAGCGGGCCCTCTTACGAGGATACTCCTGGTCAAAACGCCCTGCAGGCTCGCCAGCTCCCCCGAATCGATACTGAGATAGCGCTCACGGCTTCTCCTTCGAATTCTACACATCCATCGTTGAGTCCAAGTCCGGTTGTTTCACGTCCTGCCTCCCCAGACCACCTCGACCCCTCAGCTGCTTTCCAGGCTCCCAATTATCAAGCCACTGGAACAAATGAACGCTCCCCAATGTCAGTATCTCCCGGTGGCCGCACTGTAAACAGTTATCATTCTGGCTTTGGCCTAGAAAGCCCTTCAGTGCCTTTCCCATCCTATACCGATTTACCCCCTTCTGCGCCACGACCACCCAGCATTCGACTCTCAAATCCAGCAAGCCCCTTGGAACGGCTTCAAGTCCAAGATGGACATGATGAATTTGCTCATGTAGGCCTTCCTTTCCGAAAACTCCTAAGGAAATGGTGGCCTGACTCGATTCCCCCTCCCCAGCAGATTGGTTGTACCCTCTTTCCGACCCTGGCAGGCTGGAAATCCAAGAATATCTGGGAACGACTCCTTGGTCTAATTGCAGCTCCCAGCGTTCTACTGCTTACTATCACCGTCCCAGTGATTGAGCCTCAAGGTCCAGAGTCTGTAGAACCAGACCCACTGCCCTCAGTGATCATCCAGGATGTTGGTGATGGGGACAACCCTTCCCCAAGAGTGAGGCTTCCCGCCGACAGTCCAATACTTCTTCCCATAGAACATAACCATGCGGGGTCTGCTTCGAATGCACCAGCACACCCTCACCGCAAATCCACACACAAACACAGTGGACGTCCACGCTGGGACTCCGAACTCCCAGCCGCCCCACCAGCGGCCGCAACCATGCCCGTCCAAGCAAAGGATTGGAACCGCTGGTTGATCTCAATCCAGCTCTTCACAGGCCCCTTCTTCGCCGTCCTCATAGCCTGGACAACCGTGGACGAAGACCGCCACCTCCGCAACCTCCTCCTCCCATCTCTAGTCTCCCTCCTCTTCTCCTCAATCTGCCTAACAGCCCTGATAATAAGCACCCGCCGCCGAAACAACCCCCGACCCCCAAGCGCAGGCACCTCATTCCCCTTCCTCTCCCAAGAAACCCAATCCCAACCCCGCACCCTCCCAACCCCATGGCATCCCTTCCTCTCCCTCCTGGGCTTCCTGGTCGCAATTTCCTGGATAGCAACAATAGCCACAGAAGTCGTCTCCCTCCTCAAAACAATCGGCGTCATCCTAAACATCTCAGACTCCCTCCTTGGCCTAACAATCTTCGCCGTCGGCAACTCCCTCGGCGACCTAGTCGCCGACATCACAGTCGCAAAACTCGGATACCCTGTCATGGCCCTGAGCGCCTGCTTCGGCGGGCCCATGCTCAACATCCTTCTTGGTATCGGTCTGGGCGGGCTGTACATGACCGTCCACGGCGGGAACGCCAGACACAACGAGGCCGTTGGTTCTGGGCGGGTTACTTACGATATTGCTATCTCCAAGGTTCTTGTTATCAGCGGGGCATCGCTGTTGGTTATTCTTGTTGGTCTTTTGATTGTCGTTCCATTGAATAAATGGAAGATGGATCGGAAGATTGGTTGCGGGCTTATGGTTGTTTGGTGTGTTAGTACCTTGGGCAATGTTATTGCAGAGCTTCTTTCTTGAGTTGGCTATTTATGATTGATGTTTTTGGCCATTGGTTGTTTTATGGCGTTGGATCTTGCATTTTTATACGCAACAAATAGTTTTCTTGTATGATGATCATGGTGTGGTGTTGATGCATTCAAGACAGTACAGTATAGTCTCTTTGCGTGGATTCACCGCGGAGGAAATATAATATACGAAATGTATTGTTTGTTGAATTAATCATAATTTCGATCAATTTATAGCACAGCACTCCTTAAGAATTGCTACACACAAAGTAAACATGGTGATATGATATCCTAGCCAGTCTACGGCGTTAATTACTTACTACGAAAGCTTCAGGCAAAATAGCCGCCACTAACAATAGATTGCCTAGCGCAGAAACGTTCAGTTGTACAATATCCTTGGAAGCTGAAAGCAGCTTCAGAGAAACAGATGATAGACAAAACTAATATTATTCCAAGAAAAGTACAGAAAGACTAACTACTCGCAATTATCAACGAATCTTGTGTCAACCGGTCCCAATCATTCAACGCATTGACATCCTTCTCCTCGTCGCTCATCTATACAGTATGTACTCTCAACGACTGACTCTATCGTCCCACCCTCACAGGACGCGACCAGCAGACGAGCTCGTGCTGCGGTCGTTCACCTGAGTCTTCTTCAGGGACATACCCTGCTGGATAGAAGCGAGGAGGGCACCACGGCCGGCGCCACCGCCAGCAGCTGGAGGAGGGGGGATACCGGCTGGAGGGGGTGGAGGGGGAATACCGGCTGGAGGGGGTGGAGGGGGAGC